CAAAGGAAGTTGCGGCTAGTTTAAATCCCTCACATTGCTTTAGACCAAGGAAAGAGTCAACAGAGCTGCGTGTGAAATCCATGAGTTATGCAGTGGGGGAGTTCTCCAAAATGTAGAGTGCATACCCCTTCTAAAAAGGTCATTGTGAGCTGGATGTGTTGGCACACACCTGTAATCCCAGAATTTGAGAGGCTGAGGCAGGAGGATTGCAAATTTGAGGCCAGCCTTAGCAAGAACCCGTCTCAAATTAAAATTAAAAAAAGGTCTGTGGATGCATCTCAGAGGTGAAACACTTGTCTAGCCTGTGTGAGGCCCTGGGTTCAATCCACAGTACTGCAAAAATCAAGCAAAAATGATTAATTAAACTATTTTTAAGCAAAGCATTTCTGTGGGCCAAACTGGTCCTGTGTAGTGTAGTCTGAGCTCTCAAGTTGAAATTCCATCCTAATCTCCAAACTTGCTGACTAGCAGTCCTGGTCTGTGGAGGACTGAGGGATTCCTGAGACATGGGACCTTGTTTTACAATAATCCAAATTCACCAGTGCTCATGGTGGTAAGTGAGAGTAAAAAGTGCCTAGCAGGAGAAGAATGTTCTAGGCTTTAGGAACCAGAGTCAACTCCCTGAGGGGCAGCATGAATGTAGAGAAATGTTCGGAAGGTCCTCAGAAGCTGTTAGTCAACTTTCCATCATTATAATGAAATAGCTGAGATAATAACTTAGAAAAGGTTTATTTGGCTCAGTTTTGGAGGTTCCAGCCCCTGGTCATGTGGCCCCAATTGCTTTGGATCTCTCAAAAAGCATAGATGCGTTGTGATGGAAGCATGTGACAGAGCAGAGAGCGAAAGAGGGCATGATCCCAATAACCCCAGACCTCTCCCCAGGCCCTGTCTCCTATTGGTTCTACCACCTCTTAATAGCTCCACCCTGGGGACCAAGCTTCTAACACAGAGGCCTTTGGTGGACATTCCAGATCCAAACTATTGCAAAGGCCAGGCTGCTCTTAGTCCCTTGATGGTTTCCACTCCAGAAGATTTCAGATAGGATGGAACTTGAAGTACTATGGTTCAGAACACAGCGAGGCCTGCTGCACATTTCCTCTGATGACAAGTCCAGGTCTAGCTTAGGGTGTGCTCATATGGCTAAGTCCCAGTCCAAGTATCAGAGAACCCTGTATAGTAGGGATATTTTGAGAGTCACCTGAAATAAAATACAGTAGTGTCTAGATCTTCTGGTAGGGCTAATCTGTGTCATTTCAACTATTTCAGTAATAAGCACGGACACTTCTCTTTGTAAATACAGAGACATTAAAAATTACCATGCCTGAGAACAATTAGTACTCTCCACCCTTTATTTTGAAACAGGGTCTCACTATGTTTCTCTGGTTGCTCTTGAACACGTGGACTCAAGGAGTCCTTCTGAGTAGACCACAGTTCCATGTCACTGTGCCCTGCTAACACCCCTTTTATTATCGTACCAAGATGCAGAGTTCATTCAGGTTTTCCCAATTGGCATGTTTCCCCAAGGGCAAATCTGTGTGGTGTCTTTTGAGATTAGAAAGGCCTTTCTTGCAGTTTAGTCTCCTAATACCAGGTCTACACTTTGTTCAACCATTTTTACCCCATTTATTGAAGGTAGCAAAACTGTACACCATCTTGACTCTAAGACTGAATTATGCCAATTTATGTTTATATCATGATCTTGTAGTTAGAAGAAAGGTGCCTATAGTCTTGTAGCGGATAGCAGGGGTTGTGGTGGGAATCTCACTTTGGTACTCTGCTAATTTCATGTGATTCAGGGCCATCTATACCCTTCAAGGGCTAGGCTGAGGGTTTGTTAGATAACTATGTTAGTCAGCTTTTATTGCTGTGATGAAATATCTGAGATAACTCAAAGGTGAAAAATTTATTTTGGCTCATGGGTTTAGTCTGTGGTACTTGCCCTTGTTGCTTTAGGTTTCTGGCAAGGCAGAACGTCATAGTGGTGTGTGTGTGGTGGAGCAGAGCTGCTTGCTTCATGGTGGCAGAAAGTGGTGCAGGCAGAGAGGGCCCAAGGTCAAAATATACCCTTCAAAGGCACATTCTCAGGGACTCACTTCTTCCAAGTAGGCCCCACCTTCTAAAGTCTCCACCTACTTCAAGTCTTCCACACATGAGCCTTTGGGGGGCATTCCAGATCCAAACTATAACAATAATTTACTATGCCCTGGTACACAGTTCCTTTGGATAAATGTTTCATTTCTTCCTAATTCTTAAGCCAGTATTCCACGATAAACTTCTGTGTCTGTTTCCTATGCTAGGTTTGTTTTGTGCTAATACCTGAGTCAGGGAAGAAAAAAAATTATTATAATTTTATTGGCGGGAAGTCCAAGGCAGAGGGGCCTACATCAGATGGAGGCCTGCATCATCTTCCATGGTGGAAGGCAGAAGGCCAATAGTGCATGTGTGGACCGGGCAGGGGAGAAAGGTAGAGAAGGAGACTAAACTCATCCTGTGATAACAGCATTAATCCTTTACAAGGCAGAGCCCTTAGGACCGAAGTCCCACCTCAGCCCAACAATGTGCAAGCCGGATCCCAAGTCTAAGGCCAGCCAAAGCAACTTGAGACCCTGTCTCAAATAAAATATAAAAAGGGCTGGGAATGTGGCTCAGTGGTAGAGTGTCCTTAGGTTCAATCCTCAGTAACAAAACCAAAATAAAACAAAAGTCCTACTTCTTAACACAATTTCATTCAGAATTCAGTTTCCCCCATATGAACTTTGGGGGACACATTCAAACCATAGCAATTCCTATTTTTGGAATAAGAAGCAAAGACTGAAGGGCAGGGGAGCAAAGCTTGACTTATTTCTGTAATCACCATCTCAATGGATTCTTGTAGAAGAACAGATAAAAATACGGTTCATTTGTAGTTTGCTGACAAATTAAGGCTATGATTTTTTGAATCATTTAAGATCAATAAATACCATCTCAAACTACTTTTACTTTCTCAATGACCAATACTTTTGCCTCACTCAAGGATCTGTCAACATTTTATTTAGCAATAACAAAGCTATAAAATATTATAATTTGCAATAATTGATGTGGGAAATTTAGTAATATTAGGGTGTGAAATCATTCTTGGGATCAGAAATGTCTAAGTGTTAGTGGATACTATTTAGTTTTCTGGTGCCAAATTACTCCAAAATATTATTTTATAAGCATTTTGGAAACTTATTAGAATTGATTGTCTGCTGTGATTACAGATTTCAAGTAAAATCTCCACATTATCTGGAACCTAGACTTAATAGGCTCTGCTGTGAGCTGGATGTCTCTGGAGTTTTCCTAGCTTTTAAATTTTGAGAGCAGGATATATTTGTCATAAAGTATTTAGAGTTTACATAGATGGGGAGAAAAGTTTTAAGATCTAAAAATGGCTTACAGTAAAGCAAACAGATTTATGTTAGGATTTTCTTACTAGAATTGTAATCTCTGGCTCTGAAATAACATACTTTTTACATGATTTGAAGTACAAGCAGATATGAAATGCAGAGAGTAATATATTTAGATTATAATTTAAAATGTGTCCACTAAAGTTGACATTTTAAAGAAGAAAGGCAAACTGAATTTAATAGGGCTGTGGCTGTGGCTGTGGCTCAGGGGTAGTGTACTTGCCTGGCATGTGTGAGGCACTGGATTTGATCCTCAGCACCACATGTAAATAAATAAAATAAAGGTCTATCAACAACAACAACAACAAAAGTCGGTACTAATATTCTGGATCTGGTTGAATCAATCAAAATTAAACCAAACCCCAAAAAACAAAAACACCATTCTTGGCAATTTTGTGAAATTTATTCTGTATTCTTGTGTTATTATTAATTAAATTTATTTTATGTTAAAGAAAGAGTCAATACATAGTTGCCTGGTCCCCTCCAACCTCTGTAATGGTCTGTATCAGGAACCAACAAACTATAGCCCATGAGCCAAATGTGGCTACTGTTTTTTGCTGAAGTTTTATTTGAATGAATCTATGCCTACTTACGTATTATCTGTGGTTCCTTTTGCTACCATTAGAGAGTTGATTAGAGAGTTGAAAGTAGTTTGAGATGGTATTTATTGCAACAGAGATCATAGAGTTCTGATATGCTGAAAAAGTTTTTCCAATAAAATGAATGGTAAAAACATTATTAAAAAAGAATAAATGACCCTAGGTACTTTGGTTTAAAAGAAAAATTTAAATATATTTATATTTTGGGTTTCTTTTTAACCATTTAGAGACAATAAAACTTCACCTTTTAAATCAGATTTTAAAATGCTGAAATATTCAGAAGTCACTGACTTCTATTAGCAGTAAAGATGTTCATGGTTACTTAACTAAGAAAAAACTGTTCGGTGAGTCTGTAACTGTGCTAACTGGAAGAGAAGTTTCCAGTATGTGTATAACTTAAAGAGTCCTGAACATCAATCAGCAAGTCAGTTTTTAAAACTCATCCACTCGTTTCCTCTGCCTCCTGAAGCCACACACTAAAATAGCCAGAAAGTCAAGTCAGACAGACATATCCCTGTCACAGAATGTGTGACCATGACAGATACAGTAAGTTTGCTTCTTTCACCAAAATTTTGGAATTAAAAAACCAAAACAATGCCAGACAGCAATCACTACAAAAATTTCAAGAAGAAAAAGGAGACAAACTCGAAAGTGATTGAGTGCAATGATCAGCTCAGACTGCACCTTCACTTGATGGCTATTTTTGGAGTTACATATTTTAACTGCTGAGTAAAGAAGGTTGTTAACAGGATGGAAGTATGGCCAACAACACAATGATAGCAATCCACTGAAACAACCATAAAATCATCAGGCTACTGACAGCTGGAGAAATTCCACATGCTAAGCGACTTAACTACAAAGCAATTTTAGAGGTCTTAGATGAAAAATACACTTGAAACTGTAATTGAATTAGACAGGACAAGCCTTCCCGCACGTAGGGCTATGAAGGTCATCAGGACACAAAGCAAATGCTGGGTTAACACAAATGCATTTATCAGCCACAGTGATTTATTGAGTGCTTTAATAATACAAGTGTACATCAACTGATCCACAGTCAAAAGTGGCAGGTCCCTAAGAAATTTACAAGCACTTTAAGTAAATCAAAATACATATTATTTTGTTCAATCCAACAGTCTTCTGTGTGGTGAACAGAAGGCTAGTGATAAACAGGGTCTCAGTAATGCACAGTGATTCTGATTGAAGCTTTTGTACAAAAACTTGTTCCCAGTAGCATGCACCCACCAATAAAGACTTCAGTACAAAAAATTAACCCTAAGCACTACATTTAAGTAGAAACGAGATAGAATTCTGAATTTGTGTTTTTCTGAAGAACAAATAAAAGGAAAAAAAAAATCCAAAGTAAAACAAACAACAAAAAACAAAACCACACAGTATTACAAAGCTTTATAAGAAAGCTCTTACGATTATAGATCCAACGTTGTTTGCACTGAAAATAAAAGTTCCCATCCACACTGATGTGGGGAAAAATAATCCCAAATCTTTCAAGTTAACAGAAATCAAAAAGGTAATAAAATGAGAGAGAAAGAGAGGGAGGGAGGGACAGAAAGAAAGGAGAGGAGGGAGAAAAAAGGGAGACATACTATCACAAAACAGTTCAAAATTTAATAAAAACTGGAAAATAAGAACCGAGGTCTGGAGGGGTGGCAGGGCTATTGATGCACTTGGTGAATGTGCTTGCACAGGTCCGGCAGGGCGGTGGGCAGCAGGTCCCTATGTGGCGTACCGCTTGGTCCACTGTCTGGCCATCCGGTCGTGCTCTGCTCTGTTGGTCATGTACTGTGTGGCAATGCTGCCCACCAGAGGGTCGGCTGCAAGGGAAGCAGGGTCAGAAGTCAGTTAATACCAGCACCTCTTTCTCTTCCAAGTCAGGGAAGGGGTGTCCAGGAAGCTGGCCCTTGTTCAAGGAAAAAGTCACTGCAGCAGAGCCAGGGACCTGGACACAGACCAAATTTCACACAAACTGTCTGAAGAGTCATCTAGGTGTTTTACTGATACCTTTTCTGATGTATTTCTTGGTAAGTCTTATTTTATTTCCCTATCTCCACCACACACTTCTCACCCTGCTCTTCTGGTCTTTAAGTAGATTATTTCACTAAGAAAAGCATGCGGGATGTGGGGTGGGGATTACAGGGTCCTTGAGATCTCCTGGGCAGAGGTTTGGAAGGCATGGGCAACTCTTTTACCTTGAGTTAAGGAAGTGGTGGCTCTCATGTCCCTCATTCCCCTGCTTGGAGGGAACCTTCAGATGGTCAGCTGAACATAGTCCAGCAGCAATCAGATAGGGGGGAGAGAATCTTTTTTCTCCAATCAAAATCCACATAGCTCATGTTACAAAAATGTTAATAGATGTTATTAGCTAACACTCATGATATTTACTACATCCTAATATTTGAACACATCAACTCCAAATAGCCGGAGTCCATACTCTCACCTACATAGTATGTGGGAGGAAATGACTCTATACCATCAATGTTTAATAAAAGAAAAACAAAAACAAAAAGGAAATTTAGGTTTCTGGAGATCCCAAGATCCATCCAGTTTCTTCCAATTCTCTAATTTCATCCTTTCCCCTGATTTTTATTTCCCTTACATTTGGTGTTGAGAGCTTGGGTTTATTAGAACAGATGGGTCAGAAGAGAAAATAACAAAGCAAAAGCTAATGTTACTTATGGAAAAAAAAAAAAAGTAGAGAATATGGAAGATTTGGAGATTCTTACCTAACAGAGACTGGTGCTTATGCTTTCTCAATATTATAGACATCACCTTTTAAATGATCTGCTAATGCAGATAACAAAGCCTCAGAGGGCCTGCCTGACAAGTCTTGCCTAGTTTTCTTGGGAATTGTGCCAAGCTTATTGTAATTATTCCAGAGAGAAGCCAGGTTCCTGCATTCACTTAGATCACAAAAAATTAGGACTACCCAATATATGGGTTTGTTTAGAACTTTTGCTTCTTAGACTCTTGTGCGTCTTTCCTTCACTCTCCCAAATGCTGAAACTGAAACTACCACTGAAACCAGCCCAATCATAATTCAGTAAGATTTTTTTTTTTTCTGATTCAATAAGACTTAAACCAGCAATACTGAGGGTAGACACTAAAAACTTGGGAATTTGCCAAGCTACTTCAAAGAAAACATGGGTCTTTCAGCTGAGACTAAGTATGACCGTAGGGCCAAAGTGAGTTGTATAACACATTTCTCTACCTTTGAAAAAAAATCATCTTGACCCAATTCTTGGCAGTCTAGAGTGTAAAGCTGAGGGTTAAACTTGGGCATCCTTAGCTTATATCATTCAAGATGTGTTTCATTAAATAGATCCTACATTAGTAAAACACACTGACAACCCATCTGTACTTCTTAACTGACTGAAGCTTAACATCAGAAGAATGACTAGTGACATTAATGCTCTACCTAAAATTGCACCTTCATGGAGTGAATACATACTGGGAACAGGGAGGAAGACAGGCCTGTCATTTCACCCTAAAGGAGGTAGAGGGAGACAAATGAAGAGTAAGAAAGCTGTGGGGTAGGAAAAGGTGTTGCTTAAAGTGTTAACAGTATTTTAGTAGGCAGAGGGAGAAATCTCAAAAATAGTTAGAACTGGTAATATAACATGGACTATACAATTTTTTTTTGCATATTTATATAATTAACCTTTTTTTTCAGAGTTCTTTTTACCTTTTTTTGAATTTTGCTTTAAAATGATTATTTCCACTTGTAAAATTATACATGCTAACTATGAAAGAATAAATAATAATAATTTAAAGAATCATCTCAGACAACATACGACAAGTTGTAAGTAATGAGCATCTGTAAATTCTCTTAGAAAAAACTAATGCTAATATTTTGATGTATTTCTCCCTACACATGATGATAAAACAGGGATTAATTTATGGTCTGCATTTATAATCTTTTACAGAAGTCGCTTTATCATGGATAAGTTCTTTTCTTCATCATCATTTTCAATATTCTCCTAATGACCAATTTTCTGTTTACAGACATTGGGTTCTTTTTAACTTTAGCATCATAAACAATGCTGTAAGGAACATTATTATACTGCATTTGTAAATTTATGAAAAGTTTACTTGTGTTTAAAATACAAATGAAGGAACAAAACAAAAATAAAAAATGAAAGAATTTTAAAAATCATTAACCAAATAGCTCTTAATGTTAAAATAACTTGATGAATAAAAGAAAGTTAGAATGAGGTGTTGCAGACCTGTAATCCCAGCTATTTGGGAGGTTGAGAGGTAGAAGGATCATGAGTTTAAGACCAGCCTCAGCAACTTGGTGAGACTCTGTCTCAAAATAAAAAGTAAAAAGGGCTGGGGGTGTAGCTCAGTGGCAGAGCCCTTGCCAAGCAAGCTTTAGCATTCAATCCTCAGTACCCTAAATTTAAAAACAAATAAATAAAATAAAGAAAGGACTTTACTGAGCTTGCAAAGATCAACTATCATATTGGCTACCATCGTATTTAACAAGCATATACAATCATCACTTGGACTTATTTTAGTAGCTGAATACTAGTTTTTAAATATTGGTAATCTAGCTAAATGTAATTTGGGACTAAAAATCTCTTAGGGCCAAAGACAAACTATATAATACCCAGGGAAAGATTTGGATCTGTCTACATGGGTATTCATACAAGTCTTCAAAGTGAGAAGGAAGAACAGCTTCTATGTGTTAAAAGGTTGTTGGAACATAACAGGTCTTTTTTTTTTTTTTTTTTTTTTTAAATTAATATTCCCTTTTAATGATTTTTTTTAGAGAGCGCGAGAGAGAGAGAATTTTAATATTTATTTTTTAGTTTTCGTCGGACACAACATCTTTGTTTGTATGTGGTGCTGAGGATCGAACCCGGGCCGCACGCATGCCAGGCGAGCGCGCTACCGCTTGAGCCACATCCCCAGCCCCATAACAGGTCTTAATAGTGTCTGCTACAGATACTGATACTGACAAAAAACACTTGGTAAAAACCAAAGGCTGCTGGCACATCTAATGATTGTGTGAAGCAGTAAAATAATGTGAAAATATCAGATAAAAATATTAGGGGAAAAATCTTATGTTTGAGCCAGGTATTACAGCATGCATCCCAGCACTTGGGAGGCTGAGGCAGGAGGATTGCTTAAATGCTGGGGTTCAAGACTAGCCCGAGAAACATGGCAAGTCCCTGTATCAAAACAAAACAACACAAAAGAAAAGCTTTTAAAACATTTTTTTTTTAAATAATTGTAGAGGGACACAGAATATCTTTGTTTATTTATTTTTTATGTAGTCCTGAGGATAGAACCAGTGCCTCACATATGCTAGGCAACCACTCTGCCACTGAGCTATAGCCCCAGCCCCCCAAAGAAAAACTTTTGCCTGCTTCTTAAGTATTCAGTAAGTGTTTTCTTTAAGCTTTGCACACAGCTTCAGTTTGTGGAACTGCTTCAACAACCAACACTGTATCATCACCATCACCAAATCTTTCAGTCTAGGAGTTGAGAAGTCGTGACCTTTTTGTCCCAGTTTGAGAAAAAGGAAAGCTTGTTGATCTGAGAGCAAAATCTCTACTAACAGTAAGCCATACTGACAAACAGAGACCCCCAAATTCATGCTTTTCATCAGCTGAAAACAAGCAACTATTTAAGTATTGGAACTGTGCATAGAGCCATGCAGCAGCTGGCAGTGCTGAAAAATTACACTGCTACATTGTAATGACAAACTTTAAAAAGGTATTTAAGTTTTAATAATAAACTTATAATATTACATTCTTGAAAATTAAATTCCATATTTATTCTTGTATCTCAGAAGTTCATTTTGGAATAGGAACATTTATAGCTTTGCCTTAGGCTGTTCATTGATTTTTAACACAGGTTGTTCAGTATTCAGCCAAAATAAATTCTGTGTACCTCTAAGGCTGATACTGCTCATCTGTTATTTGTGGAGAAAATATTTTCTCCATGTGTATCATTTGTCCTTTAACCTGGTTCATGATGTTTCTTGCCACATATAAATTTAAAAATTTTATGTGGTGGAATCAGTCAAATCTTTCCTTAATATTTTCTGGTTTTATGTCATTCTTATAAAGTTCCTCTCCATCCACTCTCAGTGTTTTAGAAATATTCTCCCATACTTACATTCTCCTATATTTATAGCAACCTTCTCGTGAAATGCTAACATCATACATAAGGTTCTTATACATGTTTGGACCTGATTCTATTATAAGGCCTCATGCATGGTAGGCAAGAGTTCTACAACTGGGCTACAACTACAGTCCCAGGTTAATTTGTTTTTTGTTTTATTCACTCTTGTTTTTATCACTATAGCTTTATTGTAGGTTTTTCCATCTGGCAGGGTAGGTCCTTACCATACCCATTCATTTTCTTCACACACACAATTTTTTTATAACCCTAATATGATTTGTGGAACAGTTAAAGCTATTTCTATCTCATTCTTTAGACTCTTATCTAAAGAATGTTATCACATGATTTAGGAATATTGGGATTTCTCTGGTTTACTAGTTGAAGATCAAGTGATTAGGACAAAGTTGGAATTTCGTTGAAATGTGGGAAATCACACCACTATAGGTCTAATCCAAACAGAGACATTAAATGTCCTAAAAAGACATTTTATGTGCATCTACAATAGAAGGGTACCAAGTAAACCATTAGCTACAAGAGAAGGGTACCAAGTAAATCATTAGTAAAGACTAGGAGTGCCTGCAAGAAGGAGACTTTTGAGTGTTATCTTATGCTGCAGATCTGCCCCTTGTTAGCCAAGGAGCAAGGCAGTAGTATGAAAGCAGTCTGTACTTTTCCTTCCTCT